GCACAAAATCCCTGATTTATGCTACAGGACCATGAGGGGGAGAGGTAGGATGCTTTCTCCCAGACCCATAAATACCTTTTTTGCTTTCTAAATTATAATGTAATTCATCTGAGAAGACTCGTTGCAAAATTTGTCAAGGAATCATGGAATTGTTAGAGTTGGAAGGAACCTTTAAAGGTCATCCAGTCCAACTTTCCTGCAACAAATAAAGACACTTACAGCTAGATCAGGGTGCTCAGAGTCGCATCCAGCCTTACCTTGAATGTCTTCAGGGATGGAGCATGCAACACCTCTCTGGACAACGTGTTCCTGTACTGCACCACACGTCTTGTAAAAAAACTTTTTCTTTACATCCAGGCTAAGTCTCTCCTCTTTTAGTCTGAAGCCATTTTTCCTTGACTTATCACAACAGGCTCTGCTAGAAAGTCAGACCCTTTCTTTCTTATATTCCAACTCTAGACATTGAAAGGCTTCTATCAGGTCTCCCTAGAGCCTTCTCTATTCACAGCAGATATCACATGTCCCTGCAGAGTTAAATGGCTCCACTGGAAAATGAATGACTTGGGTGGAGAAGGCACAGTCCAACAATGGGGAGAAATGTAGGCAGTCGTGAGTGATTAAGCAGTGAGTTCCCACATCACAAAAATAAGATATCTAGAAATGAAATCTGCATGCAGAAAATGTCATGCAGTCCTAGAGCTTTGCTCAAGTGATAGAAAGATGAGAAGATTCCAGCAGCTGGAATGAAAATCAGTTTTCTTTGTGTGTTGTCAGAAGATGATACTTACAGCTATGACAGAAAGAAAGCTTTGCTCAGCACCAATTTACTGATAATTCCCATGATTCAGAAAAGCCATAAGGGATTATAGCTGATGTTCTATTGTTTGTTTTCATTAAGACAAACAATTATAACTTGTTGAGTAATCCACAAAATACTAGCACTAATAAAATACCATATCTGCTCCACCTCGCAGTAGAAAGCTGAGCAACCTGATTGAGCTGTAGATGTCCCTGCTCATTGCAGTGCATTTGGATGAGAAGACCTTTAAAGGTCCCTTCCAACTCAAACACCTATATAATTTGAGTTAGTTGTGTTCTTAGAATCAGCCATAACTTATGCTATGGAGTTTAGAGCTTCCTAACTATGAGTTAGATCTTTCACTCTTGTGCTCACAGAAACACCTGATTTGCTGCTCTACCCATCAAGTGTGCTGGGAGATGAGCAGTGGAGAAAAGCAAAGTAAAAATACAGAGTGTTCTGGTTGCACTGGGATTATCTGAACCAAACCTCTGGGGAGAACACTGAAGCACATGAGGAAATGTTGTGTATTGGCAGTGACAGTTGTTCTTCAGATGACATGTTCATAATTAGTATCTGTCTCTGTCAGGATCTTAGCAGAGCATATCACCTTCAGAGAAGAGCTGTATATGGGCAGTGAGCTACCTACCGTGAGCTCCCCAGCCTTGATGAAAGGCCACCAGCCTCTGACACGCTTCTGCTGAAAGATGGAGATCTTGTTTTCTTCACATGCTGCCACAACCATGCCTACATCACAGCTCTTGGCTGTCTTTGCTGCCCGAGGGAACCCATTCAGGTTCAGTTCAAGAGTGCCTGGAGGGAGAAGTGATGTAATAGCACTTGGGGATCATGAATATACAGATGCATTCAAACAGAAGGTACATGAAGCAGTGTGGCATCTTGGCCCAGTACCCGGAGAAGTGAGGACAGTTCTGTACTACCAGTGATTCATTTATATTTGCCTCATCAGAGCTCCTAATCATGGAACAAGAAATGGATAAGATGCTAATTTGGTGCCTCAGAGAAAGATATGAAATAGTATGGTCTCAGACACCTTCTTGTATGTACCTTTATACAACACAGGTATAGAGAACACTCAGGTGAAATTCAGACAGTTTCACTGCATACTTACCCAGGAAATCATCTGAAGAGAGCCTTTCAAAGTCCCACACCTGAAGCACAAGCTCAGCAGGTATTTTGCGCTCTGTCTTTTCCAAGGAAAATATGTTTTCTCTTTTACTAACAACCATTTGTTTTTCTGCTGGGAGATAGTGGAATGGGAACACAAAGCGCCAGTTGAAGTTGCCCTCTCCTGTCAAGGAGTTGTAATGTACATCTGTCTCCTGTTTGTCCTCTTCCAGGCCCTTTATCCACCTATGGAAACACATGGAGGATTACATTGCCGTCACCAGGGGAGCTTGAATCGCCATTGTTGTCATTTGGTAAAAGGCATAATCATTTACTAAATCTTCCCTAATCAGCAGGAAATAACACCCTGTCCAGGACTGTCACACACATAGTAAGAGCCCTAGCTCAGGAACTGTAGCTACCTCCAAGCCTTTGCACATGGTCAAAAGTGAAGACTGAAAAGGTAAATTTTATAAAGATCAAGCTCCACAATGCCAGTGGGCAATTTATTTGTTTATATTTTATATTTATATTATATATTTGCAGGCAAACACGGCATCATTTCTTTATTCATTACTGATCACCCCATATTCATGTGTCATCCTAATAGATTCTGTGTCAATGAAGAGGACAGTACTAGAGTCTGTATTGTTTGCCATTTCAGTCTGAGGGTACAAGCACTGCAGAAATGTGGCTGGAGAAGTCTCCTCAACTTTTCTTGTCTTTTTTTCTTGTCTTATATTACAGCATGCTTATAGAATCAGAATTAGAAAGGTTGGAAAATACCACTAAGATCATCTAGTCCAACCAGCCACCTACCACCAATATTGCCCACTAAACCATCAGTGCCACATTAGCATGATTCTTGAACACCTCCAGGGACGGTGACTCCACCACTTCCCTGGGCAGTGCCTGGCCGCTCTTTCTGAGAACAAATTTTCCCTAATATCTAACCTGAACCTCCTTTGGCTCAACTTGAGGCCATTCCCCCTCATCCTATTGCTGTTACTTGGGAGAAGAGGCCAACCCCGTCCTCAGCACAGCCTCCTTTCAGGAAGTTGTAGAGAGCAATAAGGTCTCCCTGAGCATCCTCTTTTATGACTGAACAATCCCAGTTCCCTCAGTCGCTCCCCATAAGATTTGTGTTCCACACCCTTCACAGCTTTGCTGCCTTCCTGGACACACTCCAGGGCTTCAATGTCTTTCTTGCAGTGAAGGGCCCAAAACTGAGCACAGTACTTGATGTGCAGTCTCACAAGAGCTCAGTACAGGGAAATGATCACCTCCTGATTCTAACATTTTTGTATTGCACTCAAAAAGCAGTATTTTCCCTGCAAGCCCTATTAGTTCAAAAAGAAATGTGGAAAACCATAACAATCCCAATCACCACACTGCTCCCGGGCAAATCCTTGCCTGGTGACATATTCAGTGCCAAGTGCACTCTCTGAGCATAGTGAGATATGCGTCTTTTTCAATGAAAAGGAGAAAAGCAGATAGCTCTGGCAGTGATAGCAATGTCCTCATACTATCACACAACTCAGTACAAGGGCTGGCTGCCCATTTATTTCCTCGGTTTTTTGCTAGCATTGAATGTTATGCTCTCAGAGCTACTCTGCTACATCTCTGAAAGTGTTCAGTTCAGAGGTGGCAACATCTGAGCAAACACTGGAATAACAGCTTCTCTCATGGAACTGAAAGGAAAGATTTGCTCAGCCAGTGTGCACAATAGCCTTACTTGCTTCTTACTGGGACCACATGGCTATGCTTGTGTACACTTCACCTGAGCTAAAGGCACTATCTCAAAGAGACAGCTACCACACAGCATGGTCAGAGATAACAGCTTTCCCTGGTAAAAGGTGTAGATACATCCTATAAAGCAGTAAGATCTGCTTTGTCCTTCTTCTTACTTTGCATTTGCCTGTGATTTCCAGTACCCGCAAAGGGGAAAATATCCTCCTTTCCCGAGTCCATCAGTCCCAGTGTTCCCTCCTCCAGCTTTTTGCTTCTGGTCTTTGGCAACACAGGAATAGATTTTTAGGAACATTATTTTTTCTATAGCCCTACAAATACAGATTTTTCCAGATCTGCAATAGGAAGTATTCCAGAACAGGAAAGGAATTTTAAGAAGTAACCTATTTCATTGTCAAGAAATAACTAGTTTGAGTGGTTTGGTTTATTCTCATTTAACTGAATTCTCCCCTTTTACTGATCATCTCACTATGGGCTCTGAAGCTGCAACAGGCATTTTGTTTGCAGCAGGGAGGAGACTGAGTGCAGAAAGAGCTCGTGTGAGGTTCTTTTGAATATGGCCATGGTCATTTATCCACACACCATTCCCATGTAGAATCACAGAATGGCTTTGGTTGGAAGGGACCTTAAAGATCATCTAGCCCCAACCCCCCGCCGTGGGCAGGGCTGCCCCCCATCAGACCAGGCTGCCCAGGACCCCATCAAGCCTGGCCCTGAATGCCTCCAGGGTTGGGGCATCCACAGCTTCTCTGGGCAGTTGTGCCAGTGCCTCACTGCCCTCTGAGTACAGAATTTCTTCCTAATGTCTAACCTAAAATGAGATTAGAAAATATTTCACAAGGAAATAGTCTGGTATATTTCAGCTATTTTTCTCTCTGAGGACTCTAATTCCCTTTTCTCTAGTTATTTCATACCTCTCTGCTTGAGTGTAATTCCTTGCAGTTCAGATTTTATGATTGGTTTCTGGTGTGGGTTTGGTATTCTTCATATGTGATCTCTTCCCACATGGGAAGGAAGGACAAGTGTCATTTCTTACAGTTGATTTTAAGTGAGAAAAATAGTTAAAAAGTACTCGGTATAAATGACCAGTTCAGAAAGGAGCTTGGAGCAAAGTGAAATAGTTGGAACTTAAAGAAATAGCTCCTCAGATAGCCCCACACGATAACTTTTGTAACTGATCTTTGAATCAAAAATTATTTGCCCTTTTGAAGACAAATTCTAAAGAACTTACCCTTTTACATAGATATCGCTTGATTTTTGCCCTGTAAAGATATTTTCATCTTCTAGAATTACATCTTCTGTATTCCAAATGATTACCCTCAGTTCATAGCTGAAAAGGAAAAGAAACATTTTGCATAACTGAGATCATAATCATTGTTTTCATAGGCCTTTGTATGACTACTGGTTGGACACTAATGTAAGCCTCTATCAAATCATGCTTTTATACAGTGAGAAATGTTGCGTTTGTGCAAAATTCTTAAAATAGCACCAGCCTTGGGTCCCTTCTGTTTACAAGAGAGTCAAGTGATAGAGTATGGATCATAGAATCATAGAATAGCCTGGGTTGAAAAGGAGCACAATGATCATCTACCTTCAAGCCCTCTGTTGTGGGCAGAGTTGTCAATCACCAGACCAGACTGCCCAGATCCACATCCAGCCTGGCCCTGAATGCCTCCAAGGATGGGGCATCCACAATCTCTCTGGGCAACCTGTTCCAGTGCCTCACCACCCCCTGAGTGGAGCATGCTGAATGACAGCAGCATCACAGCCAGCTTCGGGGCGATGGAAAATTCCTTGCTTTTTATGTGTTCGTTCCTTTGCAGTTTTCTTTACAAAACTGCTGCAGTGAAACAGGTAAAGCTGATCTCAATGACATCATCAGGGCAGCCTCCAAAACTGTAACTCCAGAAAACAGCTCCGTAAGAGGTGCTCTCCAGAAGAAATGGCTAAAATGATTATATTAGGTGCAATTCAGTGCATTTAACAGGAAAAAAAGTACTGTTTAGACATATTTTCATGTAAGTAAGCCCAATCATCATCTTCAAAAGCAAAAGCAAAAAGAATGAAATCTTTGCAATCCTTTCCACTCCCTATATGCAAACACTTCTGGCAGTCATCCAAAGCTCTAGAAGTTTGAACTGAAATTCAGATACTGCAGGTGACATTAAAAAAATCATGTTCAAAAATTTGAGTATGCTTATTTTATGGGCTGTAGAATAATAAAAAAAAGTATGTTTGGGATGGGATAACAAATGATATTTTTTATTATCATATGCTGCCTTGGAAATGAACTCAGTCTCAGACGAGAAACTTTGCAGAGTCACCGTCCCTGGTAGTGTTCAGTAACTGAGGAGATGTGACTGAAAGACATGGTTCACTGGGCATGGTGGGGATGGGTTGATGGTTGGACTAGGTGGTCTTAGAGATCTTTTCCAAGCTTAATAATTCCATGATTCTAACTAACTAACGTGGAATGTTTTCACAAATGGTTTGAGGACCTGTGGAGCCTGGAGCCCCTTTTGCTGCAGCAAGAAGACAGATCTAAGCAAAAGGTATAACTCATGTTTGCATGTTTACTTTTTTTCTCATAGTTAATGACTTGACAGTATTTTTCTATAGCTCTTGTAGACTACAGAAAAGGCAGCACCAGTTTGTTTTCGTATGTATGATTTGTTTAAAATCTCCTTTTCCTTGGAAAAAAAACCTCTTGTTAAGGAGAATTATAGAAAGTTATGGTCTGAAGAACTCTGGTCTGTAACTAATTGTTACAGATATTCTTGTTTTGGTCAAATATTAGCTTTTATTAAAAGAAAAGAAAAAAAGCAAGCCTTTATTAAATTGTTCCTTGTTCAGACATAAATGAAGCATGAATCGTATCCGCTGCTGCTTCAGACAGAAAATTCCCAGGAAAGGCTTTGCTAAAGTATAGGAATAAAAGTGACATAGGGTGACCTGAGAACTCTGTTGGTCATTTTTTATATTTCACTTCCAAGCATAAAACAAGCTTGAAGAGCTATATGTAATACTGAATATAAAGCAGTAGTGTCCATCTGAAATTTGAGAAACTGCTGTTCCAGTCCTGTCTAATGCTGCTTTAGGTGTTTCTTGATTATCTCTTTGAACCAAGTACTGAAAATCCAATAGGTACAGTACTGCATCACATTAACGATCTCACTCAGTTGCTAAGCACATTACATAACTGGAGCAAGTGCTGAAAACAGAATTACTTCTTTCCGTTTTGCAAATGGAAGAGAATAACAAAATTATTGCCTGTAGGCTCCTGAAATTTCAATGTGAAAAGAGGGATGTCTTTCTAGAAGAGGTGTGGCAGCCTTGGATGTAAAAATCACCATCAGTTCTTTGACTCATTTAACAAAAGAGACAAAATTAAGCATACTTATTTGACTACAGTTATGTGAATCTACAAAAACTTCTTTCAGGATCACAGAAATTTGTTATGATAGTTCTTTTACTAGTTCTTTCCAGAAACTTAAGACTCAGTCTCTGAAGACTTATGCCACCATGTTTGGAGGAAAGCGTAGACTATTACCCTTTGGGTTTTCTTGGTGAAATGTCCACCGGGGGTCCTGGCAGAGGCATATGTTTTGGAAACATGTCAACCCACATCTGTAAACGACCCTTGAAAAAAAGAAGAACATTTCTGTAACTCTATCTATTGAGACTTTTGAAGGTTTTTAGTGTAATTCTGTATTATAAAACCACTGCTCCCTCTCTAGGCACCAAGCCGTTCATACTCTGTAACGATCTCATCCATAAGCTATCTACACAATGTATTTTTTCATACGTACATTCCAGCAACTGCTCAGTAGTTTGGTGAAGTTGGAACTGAGTTCAAACATTGGTAACTTCAAGGTAAAATCCACACAAAAATAGTGCATAATGAAAATTTAAAAAGAACCAAATACCAAACACAAACAGCGCTTGTGTTACATTAACAAACTAAAACTAAATTTAAAATAAGTAAGCTCTGTAGTTATACATTGTGATACTGTACAATGTACAATACTGGATATTTGGGTAGCTCACTGTATACAGATGTGTAACAATTTCCAGGTTGATACTTACAAATTCTGATGTATGGTACAACACCTGAATGCTTTCTCTGCAAGTTTGCAGATAAAAATTGAAGTCACAGTACCTGGAGGAAAGAAAAACTTCTCCTGGGTCTACCATCACCCTACCATCTCTGAACTGCTCTACCTGTTCCATGCCTGGCTTATCCTTATGGTAGAGAGGCCGAGTTTCAATATGCTCTGGGACCAGTTTGTATCCAACTTCAGGGATTTCTTCCCAAGAACGTAAAACCTTTAAGGAAAGATGTTCATACGATTCAACTGGCTCCTCTATAGGAAAAGTAAAACAAAAAGAACAACCAGAACAAAATTAGCATGCCAAACCCCTGTGTAACATGTTCCATTAAGTATTAAATATGGTCATTAAAAGTCAAATTAAAAGGAAGATTTTATGTACCTCAGTTAAGGAGAGTCTTAAAGCGCATTTAATTCTTCTAAATGAGTGTACTCACTGTGATAGATAGAACAGTAGAACTTAGGCAACAGTTTTTTTATGCATACAGCAAATCATTTCACAAGAAATTATACCTATAGCTTTGGTTTGCCTTTGGATGGTAACAGCAAAGATTCCCCTGGAGAACCAAAGCACACATCAGGGGAAGAGCAGCAATGTGAGGGCTGAAGGCCGTGGGCAAGGACTCATCTTCTGAGCAGTTCAGCTTCGCCAGCTCCCTCAGCCTGGAGGAGGGCATTTCAAGGAAGGAGCAATCTTAATAGTGCAGGTAATGTGGTTATTGAAAAGGAGAAGAGGCCTCTTGAGCCCTTGAGCCTCTCTTTTCTCCCTTTTCGTGTAGATTCCCCCGGAGATTTGAAGCAGGATGTCTCACTTTTCCAAGAGTGCTGCTATTTAAGAGTTGCTGGTAGATTACAAAAGATTTGATTTGGATTTAAACAACATTGAACCCTTCCTAATGGTACAGCAAGGAAGGATTACTCTCTGGTTCTGAGTCTTCACTCCCTTTTTCGCAGTAGCATGTATTCGAGATGTGATATGTTTCATCTAATTGTATCCAGCTAGGGCAAGGTCTTTAGCATCTGCTGCTCAGTCGTGGCCCAGTGGGCTATTGGGACAGATTATTCCTTGAGAACCCATTCTGTCTGTCACAGGCGCCTTTCTAAAGACTATTCTCACATCTTCTGAAGAGATGCTTTTTGTTCTTACTGGCTACAAGCAGTCCTAGACTGCCTTGGAGTAGATATCTAACTTCCATACTTCTAGAGCAAAGTTAAATTATTCTTTCTCTTACTATTTAAATCTGAATGAAAGTCCTTCAAGTATTGTTTTCACCACCTACAAAGTAGAAATGTTACTGCTTCCCCTTTTCAGAACTTCTCTAAATCTCAAATCTGTGACCTTTTTTAGTTTTATAGGCCCAAGTGATGAACAACAGAAGGACTCAGCAGGAAATAAAGACCCAGATGGACCTGTCAGAACAGCAGTTTGGTTAAAAAGCGTATAAAAAACTGTGTGCAGCTATTTCTTTACAATATGATGAAAAACTTGTGTGCAAAACTTTACAGGATATGGAATTCACCATCTGGTTCTGTACTTCATTTCTTTTAGCTTTCGTCATTTTGTTTGACATGGATTGTTCTGATTCTCATTGTACTGAACCAGATTTTGATCTAGATCAGGGAGTCACATTTGTTCATGTTCCAGTGAGGAAAACAAGCAGCAATCTTGGAAACTCTCTCAGGCCAACAAACTGAAAATGGACCAGCACTTCTCTCTCTAACAGTGCTGCATGAACAGCATTCCACTGGAGGAGTGAGCTATATTTTTTCTGACGCCAAAAGGAATTTGCTCCAAGATGAATAAACACAGAGAAGTGAGGAGAATGTTTTCTACTATCTCCAAGACTACTTCCTTTGGTTCCAGCTTGTCTTCATCCTCACTGCTCTTTTCCTTACTCTAAGGACAGTACATAGATACATAGCACAAGAAGTTCCTGGCTATAGGTTTTTCTATAGTAGTCAAAGAATGATAAAGTACTTCATTACCATTCTCATCTTCAGTGAAGACTGTCTGTCCCTTGAAGACTTTTGTTCCTACTTGTATCTCTCCTGGCCGCATGAAAGGCCCATTTATTCTGTTGTCCTTACACAGCTTAGTGAGGATCTCACTTGGCTTGGTTGCATCTCGCCATGCATTGTACCCTTCTCTGCAAGGAGGGAACAGAATTGAGAGAAATAGCTGAGATTTTCCCTCAGAAAAATGGGCAGCCACGAGAAGAGAAGGGAAGGACTAGAGATTATTCTTTGTTCTACCTGAAGGATTCAAATGTACATGTTTATCTCCAGAATGACATTTAAGGAAGATGCATTCTGTTGCTCCCTTGTGCAGAGGGAGAAGCTGAGATTGTCTGGGGCCTGGAACAAGGACATAAAGAAATACTTCATACTACAGCTAGCAAGGGCTTGGGTTTCAGTCTCTTTTTTTTTTTTACATTTTCCACGTTTTGTAGATAAAATAGTGAAACGATCGTGGAACAAGAACCCCAAATTCTCATCTCTAAGGCAAACGCCCCACCCCAGGGCAATGGGGTTATTTTAGTTTGTTTTTCTCCATACTGATTAATCTTTGCACACAACAACAACCTTGAGAGTCCAGCTGCGTGACTGGGATCAGGAACTCAGTGTCACTGCCTTGTGAGTCCTTTTCAATACAGTGGCCCTATATGCCTGTCCAAAGGCAATTTATGAAGCAAATATGCCATACAGAAGCTGTTTATTACCTAAAACACTTGATGAACAAACAGTGTTGTTAATTTTAAACTACTCACTTCCTGCTTAGGCTGACAGGTACGTAGAGCTACTGCTAAGCTCTGTGGTGGAACTTAATTAAAATACCTCCTGTGACTTTTGTCCTGGAGAAATTTTAATTTTTTGGCCACATCTGGAATTTCTCCTTCAAAACATTAATTCACCACATGCTGCTCTCTGTGGCTGTCTGAAGAGGTACTTACATTTCATAGCGACTTTGTAACCCACAGGTAGCTCTATGCCTGCTGTAGAAACGATTTTCCAAATCAATTTTAGTTTCTCCAATCAGATCATCAGTTCCCACAAAGTCATGGTCATAGATCAGAACTGTAAGCAAGGAGTCCTTGGGAAATGTAGCCTGGATTTCAAATGACCTATGGCAAAAATTGGGCAGAACATGAAGTCAAATTAGTTTTGATATCTAAAAAAGTAACTTAATGAATATAATGTGAATAATGTGTGGATAGTTTGCTCAACTTGCAAATTTTCTCTTCTAATAAAAAATGGATTTTTTTTGCTTGTATTTTTTGTTTTAATGAAATGTCTGAATATACTGGAAACATACAGTGCAAAATACTTTTATTCCACTCCCCTATCACCTCCTATGCTGTTCTAAGATTGTTCTCACCTATAATAGACAGAACAATGGCAAGTAGTGGAACTGTTGCAAAGATTTTTCCTTAATCTATCATAGATGAACACATAGAAATTATGAAGCTAAAGAAACTGTATATATGACAGTTTTTATACACTTTTCAGAATCTTCAAAAGGCTTTAAAGGAATACATGAGTCTTTTCTGTTTTATTCCATACCTGCTGGATTAAATATTGAAATTAAAAAAAGGAAGAAAGAAAAAAAGCAAAAACAAGAAGTCTCTTTTCATTGAGTGCAAATTTTAAGGGATAAGAATAATTGTTGTGAGATATTTTGATAAGCTGGAAGTATACTTAAGAGGGGTTTGATAAATTGTTGGAAGACAGGATATCCACATCAGCACATCACTGGCTCCAGATTCCTCTGAAGAAAAACTGATTGCTGTCAAATTTTATCTCAAAGTTTCTTCTCGAAGTGACCAAAGTCTAATCTGTAGCAACAACAGAGCAATTTTGGAAGGAAAGAGAAGTTTAGGAAAGCTCTGGGGTTGCTCTGGGGTTGGTGATGCTCTGCTGACCAGGACTGTTAACGATGGTGAAAGTTGATTACCATGACTGATACTACTGCTGTAGAACACTTGCTGGGCAGTCACTCCACTACTGCTTCTGGTAGCAGCAGCAAGTATTATTCAAGTGAATTAGCCAGTTCTTATCTAAGCAAATATAGTAGTGATTTCCCTTCTATCTATATGCATCTATGATCTTCAGGGTTTAGCAAAATAAAGGCTCAGCCTTTATTTTCAGCCTTTATTTTCAGTTTATTTTGCTAAACCCTGAAGATTATACCTCTACTAAAGGAGAGCTTCAGTCACAGAGACTGAGATGGTGTGCAGTGGAGGGATCACTCTTTTCTTGTCTTCTTTCTCTTTTACTTCAACTCTCTGCTGTTGTAGACTCGACCCTAGTGTGACTAATTAGGTTTTCAGTACAATGGAGTACAGTTTCTCTGTCTTAATGTTCTTCTAGATCACCTCCATCCCAACTCAAAACATTTTAATTCACCTTAAAACAAGGAAACTTACTGTAATAAAATGATGGCTATTGGAATTAACAACATTAAATAGGTATAACACCTTGATAATACTAATTTGATGTTTTCTGAGAATCTGAACCCCCATTCAGAAGACCGGGGCATGTTAAAACTAGTCCTTTAATGATGACATTTATTTAGCATTCTGTTCAACCTGAAATGGAAACAGATTTTGAAATCACACTCTTCTGTGCATATTTATTTCCCTTTAAACTTCGTATTAATTTGCTGAGACAAGATTATTTGTTGCTTCACTTCCTCTTATGCATCACTTCAAGAAACCTTTCACAGATTGCATTTCATGATGAATTGATTGTTATGAAAATGAAATAATTTGCAATTATACAGGGTGACATAAATTTTCAACATTTTAATTAGTAGAACTATCAAACAGGCCGACATCAGCATACAACAAACACTTTGTAATGGTTCTAGCAAGACAAGGGGCAAAAGAGAAACCTCCAATGAAAATGAAAAGAAGCCTTCACTGACCTTCCAAACACTGGGTTCAGCTGCTTGGGAATGTAGTTTTCTCTATCTTTAATTTCTGTGTTGCCCAGTCTCAGCACAATGTAGGGATCTGACTTGCCATCTGGATCAGCTGGGCTGAGGTTAAATGCCTGTTAGGAAGAAAGACTACAACCTCAGGAAGCTTTTCTAAACGTAATATGGTCACAGCACATTCCTGTGGGTTCCCTGCCTGGTTCACACATGCTCTGGGGATTCAGGAGCGTTAGTTTGTCAATTAGTTTGTTATTTAGTATTTCAAGTTGGGAAAAAAAAATTTGGATGAGAGGAGGATTTCCAAAGATGGAGCAGATGGAAGTATAGTGCTTGTGGGCAATGGTGATAAGGAGACAGTTGGACTAGATGATCTTACAGGTCGTTTCCAACCTTGTGATTCTATGATTCTATGATCTCTAAGTATATCTAAGATGGGAAAAGAGATAGGCAAGAGAGTCAGTGCTGAGGAAGAAGCTGGCTGCAATAGTGCAGGCTGGATTCAGAAAAGGTTTCCCAAAAAGAGTGGACGCGATCCTTGGACAGTGCAGTACAAGTCCTCTTTATATCAAGGAAATAACGCAATCACTTCTTACTCTTCAGTTTTGTCATTGTCTTGTTTATGGCATACTTTCCTTCCTTGGTCACCTGCAGCTCTTAAATACCAGCTCTTTCTGTTTCATTTCTCACACTGCACTCCCTCATTATCTTGTTATCTGTATTTTTATCTCTTTCTCTTTCCCATACTTTTTCTATAATATCTACCACTCTGACTACACCCAACACACAGCTCATACAAAATGTTATTTTCCTCTTCGCTGAGAAGGCTGTATTTACATTTGTGTGATTTTGACACAACTCTACTGATTGAGATTTACCAAATTCACGTAACGTGTCTAGAAGAACTTATCTATTATATGTTACTTTTACCCCTCGCCCTTTCAGTTGTAACAAATAAAGTGATTCTTTTGTCTTGTGATTCATCGTGAGGAATGTGGAAAGTTTCCTATTATGAACACTCTTTTCTACAGCATGAAACATTGTCTAAAATAACAATAAAAAACTACCACGCGGATGAGGACTTTCAGAAGCTTCAGAGCAAAACACTGGAGCTAAATCAAGTTGAAAAGCAGCATCACAGTTACTTCTGGATTAAAAGAGCAGCTATCTACTTACTGCCACAATATACACCCTGATGAGGACATTGATGGAATGGTTTGGTGGTATCCCTTGCAGGATGTGGGGCTGCCCTCCGTCCAGCAAGCTGCCATCCTCATGACTTGGGTATATGCAGAAGGAGCCCTGGTAATACAGGTAATACACTGTCCTTATCTATCCTCCAAAACAGATCAAGTGCAATGCAGAAATGACCCTTCAAATGCAAACAAAACATCATGCAGCACATTCTGCAGCACATACATACACACATCATGTTTTGTGGAACCACTCCAAAGGAACACAGGATTCAGTGTGCTGAACATCATCTGTTAAAATGCTTTTCCTCTATAACATCGTACTCATTTTACCCAGATGACTGCAAGAAATACATGCATGCTCTTAGATGTCCATTTTATTATTTAAAGACATCAGGATGCTCTAGATCTGTTTTTCTTAATATTAATACTGTATATACAAGATTTTGATCTTGTCTACATATTTGCAAAATGATAATTACAGTGAGATAGTTTCACAGCAGTGTGACTGGAACCCAGCTTGCCATATGTTTTTGAAGCCATGTTACAACTCATATAAATCAATATTAAGTCATGCTGCTAAGTAGCTTATACAGCCTGAAAGCAATTGGTAAGTCATTTGAACAGAAATTTGCATTGCAAAGTAACAAAAGTATCAATGAGTTTAATCAATTCCTCTGAAGTACAAAGTGCTTGGAATTCTACTGATATTATTCAGGCTTTGAACTGCATTTTCAGATTGCCTAATGGTGCTCTGGATCAGACCATGCAATTGTTTTCACATGGAGCATATAAAAGGGCCTCCAGTTAAACTATTCAAAATAACATATAAGGAGATGTGACTGACAGTGTAGTAACAGAAGTTGCATAAGTGGAATCTGAACGACATAAAATGTCTCTTGTCCTCTCCTATGATTTAAAACATTTTGTATTCCTTGTTTCAAATCATCAGTGAACACTTGGTCCTGGATGCTACTTTCATCTATTGGAAAAGGAAAAATATGACTGGATCCAATAAAAGAGATGACTCTACTTATAACAGACTACAATTACTCCTTTCTTGCATTTCTGACACATCCAAAATGCACATGAAAACATACAGTCTCTAAATTATTACCTATTTAACATGAGAGCTCACCTTAAATTTTCCTATTATTCTGTCTTCAGAGTCGGCATGAACTTCATCATTAGATTTTCCTCTTAAGAGTTGGAAAGTTTTCACCCAATCCTCAAAGTTATTAAATTCACTCTCCAAGTCTCCTTCATAAATCTTTGAAAATAAAAGAATGCTTATTTTTTTAGTGGTGCAGTGAATATATTTATAGCAACTTTTTTTATTACAGGATGATTTAAAATCCATTTTGATTCAAACTACAGATTGTAATAACACCAAAGTTTTTGCAAAACTCCTTGAGGGAAAAAAAAGTTAATTCCCAACTTGAAACAGGAAGAGTTTTGTCCTCAATCAAAGTCTTTCTGAAGGACTGAAAACAGCACATTAATGCAGTGGGTTGAAGTGGCTCTTGAAGAGCCACGATGAACATTTAATAAGTACTGATGTAGGGGAAAAACAGTGTGGATGCACTGCTTACTCTCTGCAGTGTGCCTTTGATGTACTGATGCTTTTTAACTGCTGTTCAGTATCACATGAGAGCAAAGTAGACAACAATAAAGTGCCATGGGGACAGAGCGTTAGGACAGGTGACAAGATCAAAGTGTTTAAAAAAAAAACATTCTTTTCCTCCTATCCTGTAGTTTATGAAGCATTATTCAGTGTGAAAGAGAAGGGGTTAGCTTAATTATCTCCCAAAATTTGGAAACAGCAGTTTCAAATTTCCCTTTATTCAGCTAGAATGTAATCCAAAGTGTCCTAACCTTTTCATATCTCCTCATCTTTTTGTGGCTTATATCTTTTTCTTTGAATTCCTTCTGTCCTTACCCAACCAATGCAAGCTAGACATTACCACCTCAGCAGAGAAGGTGCACTGGCAGTTGCAGTAATGTTCTCTACACTCTTTTTTAAGTCATCCTTAATAGGTTGTAATACACTATTATTGCATGTGTTATATTGATGTCAAAGTGTCTGAAATAAATTTGTTTGGCTAAACTCTGCCCCTGGGGTTAAGTGAATTCAAACAGACTCAA